AAGTGCTACTGCAATGCCCTGGTTTTGTCCTTCCTCAAAGCCTACCTTCAGCTCTTCCCTCAAATTACCTCTGTTGGAGGCACAGCAGCCTCCCTATCTCATGCACAACCAGGATGGAGTCCTAGGATCTTCCATGCTCTTTGCTCAACTTACATCTGCTTGCTTGATGAGGTTGTGCCAAACACAAACATCTGGGTGAAGTATATTCAGGTTTTGCAGAAATCACCACCACAGATGACAGCGCTTACAATACAATACTGCTGCAATACAGGCTGCCTGCAGGGCTGACAGAGCCACCCTCCTAAGCTGGGATTTACTCTCCTGCCCTGCCAGGGACTCCCAATACAAGGGAGCAAGAGAAAGAGTTGCATATGCAGGTTAGATTTTAAATCCCTCTTTCTGACAGCATGATGCAGCTGCATGCTGCAAGAACGTCTGACAGACATTGGACCCAGGGGAGGATCAGCTTTGAAAAACCTTTCCTGGGTTATTTTTGCTCTTTTTACTCCATTCTCTGCATCTCTTCTAGCTCCCAGGATGGGTAATTTTCCTCCCCCCCAAAAAAAAAACAAACAGTCAAAAGAGAGGCAGGGGGAAGGGAGGAGAGAGGTACACTGCAGTGAGTGGGCAGCTGGGAGGGCATGGTGCATGTAAGCTTATTTCACATCAACCAGGGAAGGGACCACAGGTTTTGCAAACACCACAGGCCATATCAGGCTCCATCCAGCCTCTGACATGGGGCAGGGACAGACATATGGGACAGTTTTGCTGTGAGTGAGGCATGAGTGGAGGGTACCACATCTGGGAGCTCCCAGGGGAGGCATCTGGGCAGGTAGAGGAGCTTTCTGCAGGCTTTGTTAAATCCGTGCAAATCACCAGTGCTCCCACAGCATGGCTTTGCCGTTTGCTAACCATGAAAACAGAGCAAAACATGAAGTGCTTGCACCCACAGCCTTGGTAACCCACCAGCTCTGGGCTGGGCACAGCAGAAAGAGGGGGCTGAGGAGCTTGGGCCATCACCCAAGCCTGCATGCCCCATGCACCAGAGTCCATCAGCTCCCGTACACTAGGAAGAATTCACCCTGCATCCCCCTCAGCACCTTCCATCTGCACCAGAGAGAACTCCTTGGCCACAAATTCCAAACAGCCACACTGATAGCCACTGGCACCGGGGTTCCAATGATGGCACTTACAGCATGACTACACCCAAAACATTCAGGGCTTCTATATCTGCAGTTAGAGTATTCAAGTTGTTTTCACTTTAAAGGTTGGGGGAATCGATTTATTTTCTTTTTTTGTGTTTTTCCAGTTCTACCTGGTATTCAGATTTATGCAGCACACAACCAAACGTGTGAAGGTATCTGAAGGCTCTACATGCACAATGCAATACTATAATATAGCTCTTTGTTATGCTAATTATTTCTTTCCAGCTGCTCCTGCAATGAAAGCCAGCCCGACCTATCAAAGGGGAACAAAACCTCCAGGCAGGCTTTCTGTTGCAAGGTCCCTTACCTTTGTGCTCAAGGGGCCAGGGCTGCGACTCTTCCGCTACCTAAAACCAGGCCGAGAGGTAAAATAAAACAATTTAATATTGCAGCTCCACTGTTGCTGGGAACATTAGCTAGGAATTAAAAAGTGATACCCTCTTGACAGTCAGGTTGCCATGATTTACATTTTTCTCTTGGGTATCCTCCCCCTCCACATGCATCTTCTCAGCACTTCTGAGCAAAAGGGAAAAATGAGGCAGTGTGGGAAAACATCCAGATAAACCTCAGAGGATCCGCCAAGGTTCTGATTTTGGCATCCACCAGGGTAGTGCTGTGTGATCATGAAGGATTTTTAGTAAATAGGTGTCAGATTCATGACAGCCAAAAATGCTGGGGTTGCATTATTTAAATGAAAATTAAGTTCCCAAATGATAATAATTTTAAAAAAGTTTCCTATATTCACAATTAAAAGAATAAAATTATCAGCCTGGTTGCCTTTCAATTATTTATGTTGATATTCAGTTAAAAGACAATTTCTCTTGTCCCTGTGTTTCTAGAGCCTAGAAATATCAATAGCACATGGAAATATTCAAAGGGGAAAAAGGATCTTTGGCAGTTGGAAAGGTACTACTAGGGGCCACCAGCTGCCTGAGAGGCACAGAAGACCACTGAGAATGGGGGCCAATTCATTAGCTGAATGTCTTATTTATAATGGTCACCAGTGAAATACTGCAAAACCTGACATTACACTGTCATCTTTAAGCCTCAGAATTAGCAAATGGGCACTTTCAATGGGTAAAAAATTGATACAGTGAAAGTCCTTGTCTCAGCCTGCATACAGAATATGGAAAGTGATCTGACAGTAGCTTATGCCCTACTCATATTTAAGATTTTCTTCATGACTGTGATGACTATACAGGTTATTTTGAAGTTGGAGCGATTCTTCAATGAAGGACTGCATTAACACTATGCACCTTACTTCTCACTGCAAACACAAAATGAGATTTGTCATTATGCTAGTTAGTCTGCTGATAAATGAGAAACCAATCCGCTACACAGAGGAAGAGATGGAAGAAGGAAAAATACGTATCCAACCTACACAGGTAAAATATAGGCTGCTCCAGGTTTAATTAGTCCAACTTTATTTTTAAGACAATAATAATTACAATATTAAAAGAAATGGGGAAAATGCGGGTAGCTTTGGCAATAATTGTTGAGACTCACAGAAGATAAGTTTGAGGAAAACAACACTGAAAGTTAGAAGGTTACATAAAACTTAAAGGGTAGCAACACCTAGATTTATGTGCACTGTCTGATGGTTTGTAAGACAAAGGAGAACCACATTTTGAGCCAAAACCACACTACTTTATTCAAAGGAATAAATGACCCCAAGGCAGTCATATGGCTAATAGGATGTGGCTGGTTCGTGGGGCCTACTCATAGACCAAAGTACAGAGGATTTCACCCTAAAAGAGCAATGGATGGGCATGAAGAAAAAAATTACATGGGTTTTTAGGGTTGATGAAGGAATAGAGCACAGATTTTACACATACACCAACAGACAGAAACTATTTTGGAATTAGAGAATAAAACTGGATTGAAAACAACCTGCTTCTCAACTTGAACTCCCACTCTTAGAGGTTTTTCCTAACTAAAGGGTTAAATACAGAGCAGCCAGTCCCACACAGTATGGGGTGGAAGAGAGGGACTGCCATTTGAAACTTGTTCTGATAAAGAAAATGAAGTGAGGGGAAAAGACTAAACCAACAGTAACCAAAGGTATAGGTGGTTGGCTTATAGGACCAGGCCAAACTTCTCCAAAAATCAGTGGCACGGCATTATCTCATGCCAGCCAAGGGTCTCATTGCCCATCACTCAGCTGCAAAAATTCTCTGAAATAGTAGCCAGAAAACTGCTAGAGAGCATTGACCCCAGTCACAGTTCACAAGTGAAAATGCTGTATTAGGAATATAAGGCAGGTAGGGGATGGTAGAAGGGATGTTGCGGGGTCCCTCTGAGCTTGCTGGAGACTTGCAGCTGTGACAGGTACACACCAGTATTTCATGGAGGAAACAAAACAACCAACTGTTGCCACTCCATCATCCTCCTCTGCAATGGCCAGAGCCTTTAGTTGTTTCAGGAGCAGACACAGACCATCATAAAGAAAGATGCATCTGGTGGGGTATTCCACAGTACCACTACAGGAGGTAGCAGTAAATGGACTGACCTTGAGCAGACAGACCATTTACCTCCTTTCTGCAATCCCAGTATGACAGATTAGATGCTCTCTCCAGTAAACTGGAGAATGATGCTGTATTAATCGAGAATTACTAGCCATGGAAGCTAAATTACTTTTCAAATTCAGTACATCCCTGCTTTGGGGATTTTGTTGGTGTTTGGGTTTTTCTGCTCATCTTGCATACTTCTGAGTGTAAAAAGACTACCCTTTATGGCTTCTCCTCACACTTCTTGCATTCCTCAAAGGGGTAACTTGAGCACAGAGATTAAAAGAAGTTAACATGCTTGCTTACCTGGATCCGGTGAAAAAGCTTTGCATACCTTGCAGTCTGCACCACTTCTGCAAAGCCAAGAAACCAAAACCTCACTTTCCCCAAGGTGCACTCTGTTCCCTGCTATGACTTAAAGACTAGGGAGAGCAACAACAAGCCAACTACAGCCCCAAAGGCAACAGCTTTCACATGATTACTCCCCTGGAGTTTAATCTAACCTTCTACACCTGACCCAAGACCTCTTGGAAAGCCTCTGACCCGTGATAGTAAATTTGGTCTTCGCTTTATGCTCTCTGAGTAGAGCCTAGAGAGTGAAGGTCTCACCCTAACACTCCTCAGCCCTCGGATGGTTCATATTCAGCCCCTCAGTGTGGACCTGGCTGGCTGGGTACACCTTGTATTAGCAGCCTTAAACTGAGCAGGATTAACTGCTGGGAAGGCACTCGGCATCCGGCCACGGCTGTGTTTACATTAGAGAAAATGGACCTCACAGAGACAGTTTGCAAACACCACAAGACGAACTTTTGTAAACTCCCTTGGTTTAGTCATCTTTCCCCATCTGTCAGAGAAGTTTAAGTGAGATTGAAAAAACACAGGAAATTACTGTGTATTCCAAGTAGTCATGACTGAGCGGCTTGGCTGTTACATGGGATGCCTTGTGGAAGATTCGCTCCTAACATTTCCAGCAGGATCCTTTGCAACGCTTTCCTGGCTACGATTGTTTAGCAGGCTCTGCACACCCTGCCAGGAAAAGCCTCTGGGGTGCTTTGTGCAGCTGTGGAAAAACTCATACCAGTACTGAGAAGCCCAAATGGTGACCTCCAGAAAGCAGGGGCAGCCCCTTTCTTCGAGGTTACAAAGCAAGGGATGGACAATGAAAAGGTCACGTCCCTCTGGGAGGCTTCCACACCAGGGTTATATTCACTGAATAAAACACCAGATGAAATCCTATACCCCACAGCAGTTTAAACCTTTCTCTGATGTGACTGACTGGCTTTTTTTCCGTGATAAAACTCAAGAAACTTCTTTTATCAAGGTTCCTGGCATGAGTAAGCAGCAATTGCATTTGCTATACCTCTTACTACACCTTTAGCTCAAGAAGGCAATGAAAGGACACAAGTCAAATCCAGGCTAGAAATCACCTTCACATCTCTACTTCGGCCATAGCCCTCTAATCACCAGATCCCTACCACAGCAGCTGGAAAAGCCATTTGGGTGGGGGGGATGTCACAACTGGCATGAGCCTCCAGAGGGGCCACGAAGTAGCTGAGATACACGGCACCCTGGTTAGTTTGTTTAAATTTTAGCTCATGCGGTGGCTCTGAACCAACTCCCTGCTTCTCCTACACAAACCCAAAGGGAGGTGACATCCACCAAACCACCCTGGCAGTGTGTCACGGTCATCAGCGAAAGGACAGATGGTAGATGAGGGATGCAAAAGGAGGATGGAGAGTGCACAGAAAGACGAAATGTGAAAAAAGTCTCTACCACAATTTTGCTTTAGGGTGTAACACCTTGAGGACTGAAAGAAGCACTTCATTTCTGCGGCTCAGCCTGTGTCTGTTTTCTCTCTGGAACCAGCTGCTATGCTGGCACTGCACATCGGTGCCAGCTGAGGCTGTCTGAGTGCTGGGGATGCTTAAGTAACCATGTTAAGCTGTTTCAACAGATTAGCTAATACAGTAAAAATAGTAAAATTTTACCAAAAACAGTGAGTATGTATGAAGCACAATGATATTATGCCACGTGCTTTGAAAAAGGAACACAATTTTTTCAACTCAAATGAACTGTGCGTTTTCAAGAGAAATGTATTACCTGGATTCTGAAGATAACACTTCTGTTCCTAGTAACAGTAAAATAGATGTGACAACAGAAACATCTTTTTCTGTTGCTGTTTGCCATGTGCTGAAAGGCAAACACTTTTATAGTCTTACACTTTAGAACCAGAGTGTCATGATAGAGAGTAAAGCAATCTCCCTAAAAAGAAGCTTTCTGTCCAGTTCTTCCTGGTAGGTAGGCCAGGATCAAGTTCAGGAACATTCATTTCACAGCTATGTGTGGGACATTCAGATGAAAGACATTAGTATAATCTTGTAAAAGACCTATTTCTTGAAAATCTGTGATACTAGCAAAACGTCCTTAGTACTGGAGTGTGCAGTGGGGAAGAGGCCTATCAGGTTTACAGTCTTCACATGCCATAAATCAACCCAAATTTAAACCAGGAAATCCATTCAGCCTAGCCCAGGCTGGAAATCCTATCAAGGTCTATTGCATTTCTGGCAATTGGACAAAGGTCTTTCCAACTCCCTTTTCTAACATGAAATACCTATGTCTCTTCTGAGGTAAACAAGGTAACTCACTGGACTCCTGAGTCCAATACATATACCTTCAGTATTTGCTATTATTTTGTGAGGCAGGGTCCAGACAAAGACCACTTATCCACAGGCCAACCTTCATTAGATGACATTACATCCCTTACAGACCCTTATGACAGTAAGATTGTCCAGAGCTGTAACAGGTTAATTTCTACATGTCCCTGGAACTAAAGAAGCCATTAGAGAGGCCAGAGTAGACAGAGTTCTGCTGATCCATCACTGTAGCTTGTGCAAATTCAACTGAGAAGCCTCTGCGACAGGTTATGTGTGCAGGCTTGTTCTTGAAGACCAAGGAGCCCCTTAGGGTCAGAAAGCTTTCAGCCCCCCCAAAAGTGTTAGGTGATTTGTGGTTTGGGCAGCATTTGGCCAGGTGTTTTCCTTGGCTGAATGCGCAAGTCTGCAGAGAATCTGTTGCTTCTCAGTGCACCTTCAGACTGTCCTAAAGGCTCCTGAAACCCCAAGAAGGCTGAGCTTCCTCATGGACCCAGCTTAAGGGGCACAGTCAACTGCCATGTAACCTCTTCAGCAGTGAGCAGTTTCATTAAATGGCATTTTCTTTGGTGAGGGAGGGGAACATGGGGGAAAGGACCCAGTAGCCATTGGAGATGTAAAATTAAAATGAATTTTGGTCATTTTAATAAATATATATCAAGGAAATTTCACTTTACTACAACAACACATTAGTATACAAGCATCTAATATTTAAGCTTAAAACATCAAGCGTTTATCAAATATTGGAAAAGAGCAGACATTACTAGACTACCTGGGTATAACACAAGAAAAATCAGTTTTTTTAAAAAATTGGTCCTTGTGGACAAATGTCTAAATTATGATCCTACTCATACACTGTATGAATGAGATCTATATTTAATATTATTATTATTAATAAAAAAGCTTCTGTCTTGGAGAAATCAGGTGGGACTTATACTTCCTTTATTTGTCACTCTTCACAATGATAACCCTTACAAACCTATCAGTTTAAACTCACCTGACTTCATAAAGGTTATCACTGATTGACATCCTGCTCTCTTTTGTGGTCACTTTAGCTGCGGAGGGGGGCGAGCCCTTTTTTCCAGTGACCACTGGTCTTTCTGACAAAAGACCATCCAGTTTGCAAATGTGGCTGTGGGGTGCACATGCTACCCAAAATAACCGTGGCCCCAGAGGATTCAGGCTGAACCCATGAAACCCAGAGTAGGAGGTCTCAGACCCAGAGACCCGGCTGACTCCAGTGCCAAGCCTGGGGGAGCTCGGGGCAGTGTCCCCCCAGCAATCCTCATGCCCTGTGCTGAGCTGGCTGTTCCCCCAGCACAGAGGTGGTTTCCACCCTTTGGACAAGAAGCAAGAGAGCATGTTGCTTCAGTGCATGATGCTATGGGAACAGCCAGCTATTTATGAGTCAGCTGTGGCTTGGATGTGGCTATTTTGCTGAGCGCATCCCGCCAGTTGTTATAGGGACTGTGGGAACTAATTAATTTGGTGGATCTAAGACTCACTCTCGGTCCAACCCCAAATAATGTCTTCTGGGCATTTTAAACAGCACACTTTTGCAAACCATCTACCTAGGGATGAATAAATGTTGTGCTCAGCCACTGAAATCTCAGCTCATTTCTCCAAAATTTTCTTTTTTAAAATTAAACCCCTTACATTCATTCAGATAAAACCATGTTTAACGTCACATTATTAATTAACATTGTGCTTCTTGCCTTCTTTTCTTGTCTTTTTTTAAATCAACAGCAAAAGTCATAGAAAACTCCCGCATGCTTTTGCAATCTAAAAGAGAGAAATTATGCAAAACAGAATAAAGTATAAAACATGCCACTGGTTCATGAACTTCATTATACGAAGAAGGAAAAAAAAAAGAGCCCAGCAACAGACAGTTGCCATAGAAACACTCAAGCATCGAATGCTTGTTTACAAGAGACATCTCTCTATTGTTTCTTAAATCCCTTCCTAAGGATAGCAAATCAAAAAGCAATTGAGCATCAAAAAGGAAGAACAGAGATGTTTGAATAGGAAGTTGAACTCAGTACTTCAAAGGTTAAAGGTTTCTAATAATATTGATCCACCCTGTGGGGTTTTTTTTTAATCTCTGTTTAGGTTAAATCCCTGCTGTATCACTGATTCATACTTAATTTTCACGCTGGCAAAAATTAAGACAAAACGTAAGGCACCAAAAAAAAATCTGCCCTGTATAACAAGCCTCATTAGTTATTACAGCCGAGGTGAAAACACGCAAGTACTTGAGCTGCATGTCTCATTCTTATTAAGATCCCATAAACAGGTTATTTCTTTATGCTATGTCCTATTTTGTCAGTTGAACAAGACGCTGAATCCAGAAATTCAAGAGTATCAGTACAAAACATAAGGATGGTTTATTCCTAGTCCATGAAGACAGTCCTTTGTCAGAAGGAACACCGAGTTACAAGGAGCACATCATCCTTGCTGGTAGCATCAATTTGTTTACCAGACTTCTAATTCCTTGGTAAACATAATGGAGGTTCTTCTTAATTATTGGCAGACTTCTTGGGGGTGGGGATATATAAAACGATATGTTTTCCCCATCTGGCTGATTGGCATTTTCAGTAATGAAAGCTACACCATAGCTACACCAGACTCAGCAGTAACGCAACTGCGTCCTTTATGAAGTCACCATATTTATAAATAGCCCACTGATGCAGATCACAGAGTATCTTTACGCAATCTGCTCTCCAGTCACTTAGAACTACATGCCATGTTTGTGGCATGATTGTACCATTTGTAGAAAACTATAAAAAATCCATTCAAAATAAAAATTTGATAGAGAAAGAACGTGCTGTGCATGCTTCAACAGAGCAAGAAAGATGCCTCATATTTTACTTCCTTTGTTGCAGCACATTTTATTACTTGGTAAAGATTCCTTTTTCCTTAAGGATTTTTTCCAAGATTCACTTACGTTGCTCTTGTCATTACATCCAGTCTCAAAATAGTCATAAAATTTGCCTCTACATTCGACAGCATGGGTGCCTCTTACAGGTTCACAGTTTAGAGCAACGCTCCCTTGCTCAGGTTCATTACCTCCTTTCTCATCATTAAATTTTGCCTTTTCCTGATTACTGTGAGACCTGCCATTAGTGATGAATATTTCATTAGCAGGTATCTGGTCATCACTTCTGTAAGAAGGTGCACTGCCAACGTCATAATCCACCTGCTGGGAACAGCTTGGCAAGGAAATGGGGGGGGGAAGAGGAGGAAGAGGAGGAGGAGGAAGAGGAGGAAGTATTTTCTGTACCAGCATTAACAGAGTAGGGTAGATTTAAATAGTGACTGCCACATTCTTGATAGAAGCAGCACATGTGGAGCTTCTCATACTCCTCCTTTGCCATCCGAAGGCGTTTTCTGTATGGACAGTCCTGAGGCACAAACCACTCTTGTGGCGAGGTGCCACTGAAGGAGCAGGCGGAGAAGCACCAATTGTTCTGCATGATGATCTCTCCGTGAATTCTCTTCATTAGATTGTTGATGAGGACGGATCTCCGCAGGTAGACTTCAGGATCGTCAATGAATTTCAGCTTTTCCAAAGACATGTAAAGAATATGGGCCCGCTCCTCAAACACGGAGATTGTCTGAAAATGCAAAAGATACAAGATATAGAACTGAAGGCAACTGGTTTTGTTCCAGGCAAGGAGAAAGACAATGAAGCAAAGTATTCCCTCTGTGTCACTACTTTACTATTCTCTTTCTGAGGCACCTAGGGCTGGCTTTTCATTTTGCACACCCATGTGCCTGGGAACCTGCTTTTTCTTGGCCACAGCATTCACCCAGGCTTAGGAGGTAAGTAGCTGAGTGTTACACCACAAAGGCAATTGCAGGGCATGAATCCAGGGTGGGAAAGTGAAATCCAGATGCACACATTTGGTTCTTCAATTACATTTGGGGTTAGAACATAAAATTGTTGTGCAGTTTCGCTCCAGTAATGGCTGGGGGATTTTTGTTGCAAATGGACCCAATTCCATCATCCCCTGTGGGGCTTCTACACAGCTCTGAAGCCAAGTGAGGGTCCCTCCTGCAGCGTCAAGGTTTGCAAGACGCAGCCAGCAGCCATTGCCTCATGCAGCAAGTGTTGGAGCATTTCATCCGCTGCCAGTGGAAGAGGCCCTCCAGCGAGGAGGTCTCCATTTGCCAGGCTCTCTTACACTGCTCCTGTGTACAAAAGTGCATGCAGGGAGGGAGGCAGGGAGAAACTCATCTCAAAGCATCACAGCATCTGGAGAGCAGCTGTTGGCCTGCGTACTACACCCTGCGCTCTATGGGACCGGTGGGAACACAGATAGGCAGGGACAAGGTCAGGAAACGAAGAGAGGATAGGAATTTGCAGAAATCCTGGCTCGACGCCCATAGATTTGTTCTCCCTTCCATGGTCCTTCCAGGACTCCCTTTCTCAGCACTGGCAGCATAAGCAGGTTACTGCCCCCAGGAGGCCCCGGATTCTACATTGTAATCGCTACTCTGGGAATCAAAATAAGAGAGGGGGCAACGCATGCTACTGTAAGCAGTATTAACTAACTTTCATTTTTAGTAAGAATTTGGTTTGCGTAGGAGGAGAGCAGCATCGCACAAAGAGAGACTGCTCTAAATCCCCCCCATCTGTGGCTTGATCATTCTTCCCTTTCCCACATGGTTACAGCATTTTTGCAGAGTGGAAGTCGTAGCTATGAGGACTAAAAGAGCTTAAAGCACAGCTGCTTTTCACATCCATTCAGCTCTCCTCAGCCCTCTAGCTCTTTCCACAGCCTGGTCATGTCTGCGAGGCTTAGAAGCAGCACAGTGCCTCACAAAAACAAAAATTGGCCATAATTTCTTGCAAGTTCACAGCTGAAGCTCTTTGCTAGAGAGAGTAATTTTCTATAATAAATGACTCATTTTAAAGTATATTAAGCCTATAGGTTAATTTGGGTCCTTTATACCTGCTGCAGCAACAGTCTGTGAAACCATAAAAGCCTGGAGCAAACCAGCAAGCCTTGAACTGGGATTCTCCTGGAGATATATCCTGGAGGGACACCAGTAGGTACAAGTTGTCAAAGGCTTTCTACTACACATTTGACAGCAGCCCTCTGGAAAGCGACTCTGGGCCCTACCATCATAACCTCTATGGCACAAGTAATCTCAGCACATAACTCTTTACTGGGCAGCGAAGGTATAAGCGTGTAAGAAATTCAAGGAAACCTGGTAGGCATCCTCCCTCCGGCAAAGCTTAGTGCTGCAAAGCAAAAAATGTATTTGGGCCAAACAGAAGAAATTGGTGATACAGGGTTTCTGAGGTGATACACCTCTATAACAGCACAAAACTGTGGTTGGGCCTAGTTTACCAGTACCCCTACAATTGTTTTTTATTGCTGTTCGAAAGGGCTAAGAAACTATTCCTCCTCCTCTTTGCAAGGAAATTAATCATCGAAACAAAAATCCAACAATCTAGTAAAAAAGAACAAAACTGTCTGAAATTGGAGAGTGATGAGACGTGAAACATGCTCACTAACCAGAGCACATTTTTCAACACCCTTGGTGCTGTTTATTCACTGCTCTGGCAGCAGACTGGATACCTTCTGGAATTAACAGTGGGGCAGTTTTTCACTTTCCCAGTCCAGGTACCATTTGCAGACAACTCTTACTTGTAGCCTTGAGGTACTCTAAGGTCCTTGGAAACTGAACTCAGCACTACTGCTCACTTCTGCTCTGCAGAAATTCCTCCCCTATCACCAATAGAACATGGGTAGCAGTGGTCCGTCATGGGCCAGGTACAATCCAACAAAGTCAGGGTGGTGTCTCAAGGCACGAGCTATCCCCAAGCACTTCACCCCAGGTCTTCAGTTCCAAGCAGGACTGAGCCCTTAACGAAGAGGAGCATAAAATCTCTCACAAAAAAGTTAGATTTAAATTTATATATTTGTTAGCCTGGGAAACACTTGTTCTAATCCCTCCCTTGAAAACTTTCATTAAAAAAATATTCTTTCATCTACTAATCTGTTCTTTTTGAGTTATTAGTTTTTTAATAAACAGGATTAAACACTGAAGGAACTTGTACTCGCTTTCCAAGTCACTCTGCTTTTCTAGAGGATCTGTAACCAGTGTGGGGTACATGGAACCTCTTACTATTTTCTCCCCTGGAAAAAAAGTTTTGAATGAGTGGGGAATCTTTCACTTATGTTCTTCCCTTCTGCTGTTCAAATGCTGTTTCTGAAAGCATGACATAAACTAGCTAAGAACAAAATAGTCTGAAAAAAAGTTATTCTCAGCATTTCCATTTACAGTTGTTATTAATGAGGAAACGCCTTTGCTTCTTAAGCAATTCGATGACAATACAACAATAAATGTGAAGAAGTGGTAACTATTTGTTTCTGAGCAAGCAGCTGGATCATTCTCCTAATTTCAGCAGAGTATTTCAGCCTTCTGGAAATGGGTCAATTGAGTGTTACTAAGCATCTGAAACTCAGAGTAAAAATAATGACTATTAGAAGACATACTTTATGTGTACAGCTGCTGAGTGGTGGATGAAAATCCTCTTCTTCCACATATTTCCTTTTAAAGTATGTGATCTTGGATGTTGTTACAGGATTTGAAATTCCCCTGTAATGTGATCCTGTGGGTAATAAATCAGATATGACAAATGACATGCGGTTTGCCGGAGGTTCTCCAAACAAAATACTTTTCATTTCCCTTCGCGCTACAGGAGAACTCCGCCGCATATTTTCGCATCTATTCGCAGCGATCAGAAATAAACCTTCGCCTAACTAACACATCGCCCGCCAGCCGCCCGGGGACCGATGTGACGGGCAGCGGGGGGGAGCCCGGGCCGCCGCAGGGCGCTCGGTTGCCGGAGAACTTTCCACCTCCATCGCTCCGAGGATGCCGGTGCGACGGCGCCCGGCGGCCCCCGCGCACCTGCGGCCCCGCTCGCCCGCGGGAGACCTCCTGCCCTCCGCCCGCCGCCGCCGCGCCTCCCTCCGCCGGCAGACCTTCGTGCCCCCGGTGGCCTCCCCGTTCCCCCCGCGGCGGAGCGGTGCCTACCTGCGGCTGGGGGCCCGGGGGCCGCCGGGGCCGGGGCCGGGGGGGCGGCGGGGCCGGGGCGGCCGCAGCAGGGCGGCTCCCAGAGGGCGCGGTAGGCGGCGAGGTCGGCGGCTCCCTCGGCGGCGATGGGGCGGCCCAGCCGCTGCATGGGCAGCACCAGGGTCATCGCGGGCGCCGGCACCTGGAAGCGAAGCAGCGCGGTGACCGCCCGCCGCCCCGCCACCTGCCCCCCGCCCCGCGGCGTCCCGCCCCCCGGCAGCCAGACCTCTGCGCACACGTATATTAAAAACATACGCATGCCGATATCACATAGACGCACGTTTTCTTTTCCCCCTTCTTGCGGCAGGAAAATGAGCGGAGCCCTCTGCCACAAAGGGCGCGGGGTCCCCCGCACCGGGAGTTGGTGCGCGCTCCCCCCGCGCCGCCCCCGGCCGCGCTCCCGCTGCCCCCGCCGCCCCGGCCCCGGCCCCGGCGGCGCTCACACACCGGCACGGATCCGCTCACTGGCTTCCCATTTCCTCCCGGCGGTGCTGGCACGGCGCGTTCGGCACCGGAGGGGGTGCGAGTCTGCCTGTCTGGGTGCGTGTGTGTGCGGTGCGTGTGTGTGTGTGCGGTGGGGTGTGCGTGTGTGCCTGTGTGTGTGAGAGAGAGCGCGCCCAGCAGTCCGGGATCGCGTTCCTTTCTTCTTTCTTCCCTCCCAAACGACACAGACAGCGGAGACTTAGGTAGTTGTTTCCACTAGCCCCGATCGGACTGAACTGGATCTGCCTCCAGTCAAAACACTGCGAGACTAAGACAGAAAATTGGCTCCGGTTTCACGCCGTGAGTTGCGGTCCCACCGGAGCCAAGCACAACATCGGCGGAGCGGGCGGAATATTAAGCAGGAGCGGGGACTCCGGGGCCAGCTCCGGGCTGCGAGCTGCCTCCTGCCGCGCCAGCGGGCGGGAGGGGAGGGGAGGAGGGGGGGAAGGCGGCAAACTTTCTGCGAGGGGCGAGGGATGAGTTCATCATAGTCACCTACTTCTTGGCAGAGGAGCGCGGAACAATGCGCCCAGACACAGCCCGACTCCTCCCTCCCCTTCCTCCTCCTCCTCCTCTCTCTAAGAAAGCGGGATGTAGTTTCTCCTCGGCGCAACCCTCCCGGAGGAAGACGAGGGCCCGAGCAGGCGGCGGGAAGGAGGGGCCGCAGGTGGGCAGGTGGAATTTCAGCAATTGTTTGTGTTAGCAGCTGAGCGCTCTCGAACAAGGGGAAAAAATAAACCGCAGCAGAAGAGGGAGGAAAAATAAATCCTTCACATCTGCCAGTTGTTTTCTTAAATCCTGGAAGAATGCAAAAGACTGCTACTTTATTAAGAAACGGCTTCCAACATGCGCTGTCTGTGTCTTGGATGCATGGGTGCATGGGTCTGCTCTGCCTCCTCACTGAGGCAAAAATGGGAGGCGAAGGGACAGTCAGCCGAGTCCCCAAGCAGTTTGCCTCACTGCAATCGGACTGACCCTTCCTCAGAGTCAATTTACTGCTAAAGCACTGCATATGGCCCTCAGTCACTTTCTTGCAGTAGCCCCTTCGTGCCATCTTGCTTCTTCTAGGCCAAGAAGCAACACAGGGAATGGCAAGCCACTGGACTGGCCCATTGGAAGTTATCCCTGACACAGATAGACAATAGATATTATTTATTCCCCACACCTTTTCTTACCAGCCTAGTACCAATACATGAAAGGAATGGTCAAAACAAGTGGGCCAGTCTGCTGACATAACAGCGGGGCCAAAAATTGGCCCAAGAAGCAGCTAAAAAGTCATATATTTTGTGTCTGAAAAGATTACGCCATCATTAGAAAGCACCAATGGACTCTTCTCATTAATCTGCACTGAGGAATCATTCACAGGGACACATCAATCTTCTCACATTGGCATGATGTCAACACTCAGTGTTTGTCCTGAGAGAATAAAGGTTGGAAGAAACTCGCTGCTGCGTCGGGAAAGTCAGGGTTTCTTTGCTCATAATGAATTCAGCATCTCTTTGTGGATTTTTTTTTTTTGGTAATGAGAATCAGAGATTTAAGCTGTGCATCTTTTTTTTACCATATTTCATCACAAATAGGTCTTGCTATGCTCAAGCAGCAACATGCAGGAAGGAAGGAAGGAAGCGTTGGGATGCCTTCTGCACAGTGCTGCTAATTTATCTTGAAAAGCTGAGTTCTCTGGACAGCCAGTAAAGTAAATGAACTGCTTCTGCTATTTACAACATGCAAAATGAATAGAGGCAAGCCAGTTCACTTCCATAAACAGCTACTGTCCATGCACATTCTCCATGTTTCCAAACTGTATAAAACCAAGGCATAAATTATAGAGCTTCCCTGGGAGAAAAAAAAACAACAAAAAACAACCACCCACCAGAAAACCAAAGCCCCAAACCAAGCTTGTAGGTCTCAGCATGTGTTACAAAGCTTTATAGGTGGCACTCAGCTACAAAATAGGTCCCATTTTGTAGCAGAGGGGTTGCTTTAGCACACAGAAGCTGAAAACCAGGCTTTTAAAAGGGCTCATGACTCTGGGCATGCTATTTGTTCCCCTTGGATGTTCAAAAGCACTGATTTCCAGCTGCTGCAAATGAGTGGGAAGGGAGCTACAAGCACTCAGCACATGGGAAAAGTCAGCCTCCTTGAAGGTAAAGCTGGACATGGCAGAACTGTAACCTGGTGTTTACTGAGAAAGCACTACCAGACCTAACTCCACAAACGGGATCTCTGGCACTGCTCCTGAAGAGCCAGCCTACTGTTTTTCCCCATTAAGGGTGGCAAAATCGACTCCTGAGTATCTTGCCAGAAGTCACACAGCAAATCAGTGTCAGAGCCAGAAATAGAACCAAATCTCATCGTCCTCCAGTCTTAAGCCCAACCCGTTTATATTACATTATCTTATGCAATGGAGGGATTTCATCCAAAATCCCGTTGGTTTCAATGAGACTTTGCATAACAGCACACATATTGTTACATTTCCATTAGCACCTCTGGAAATAAAGGATGAAAGATGTACATTTGAGCATACAACACATTTACTATATAAAATTACAGCAAAAGGTTGACACTTAGGGCTGGATTCAATTTTGAAAAATCCATTTGGGAGCCTTGTGTGGGCTTCAGTGGCATGGAAGCCAGGCAGAGTTTTTTATTGAACCCAGCCCTCCCTCCTTAGGCTACCACAATTTTTCCATTTTGTCAGCCAAACGTGTGTAGTGTGAGGACACCCCGGGGCATCTACAGCAGCCTGAAGGTTAAAATGCCAAACTTTTTCTGTACTCAGTTTCACACAGTAAGACTACTATACATTGCCACTACTCCATTTGCTGGGGTTTTCACTCCCTATTCCTCCAGAGCCATTATGATGTTAATGAGAGAACTGTAATGATGCCATTCACATTATAACAAGCCTGATGCTGATGTCAGAGAAAGGGGCTTTTTATACAGTTCCAGAATGTCTCTAAAAACCCAAACTTAAATATAAAATGCCCATGACTATAAAGCTGCAGGTCTCACCAAGACGAATAAAAACAAGGGAACAGACTTAAGATGGCTATTCCTTGTTTAACTCCTGGGTTTGTACTCAAGTACTGCAGTGGTTTCAGTCCTTATCATATATCGTGCAGTGTTTCCATTGCATAACAACGTGACTTGGGGAGAGAATAGCAGTTCTTAGCTGTACTATACCATTGTTAACATCTGGATTGCAGTGCTTAGAAAAAAAAATTGCCATCGTCATGATAGCTGTTACCGTTCTGGTGTTACAGAAAATTTACACTGCAGAAGCAATCAGGAATCCCACTGCACAGAGGCTGTGCAGACCCTCCTTCTAAGAAAGCAAGTGACAGCTGGTGAGAGGAAGGGGAAAGGCACAGTCACATACCCAGACTGATGTACCTCCCTTAGCAAAAAAACCCACTGCATTACCTGTAAGCAATTCCAAGCTAACCTCATTGCAAACTATCTTTATGGTTGATGCAAAAAAGTTTGCTATCACCGACTGAGCTGAGGGAGGCAGGGCATCCTGTGGACAAGAGCGTCATGGAAGAGGGCATAAAGGCTCCCCTGGGAGCAGCAGATAAAGGCAGGAGGATGCCAGCATTACTGGCAAAGAGAGCAGAGCCGTGCTGGTGCTGTAGAGACAATGGTGGACTGATGACAGCTACGGCGGAACTGTCACAACCTCACATGTGAAAATAAAAGACTAGATGGAGGCAAATAAGGAGGAAAGGCAGGAGGTGGCTTGGCTCTGACCACAGCAGCAGACAGGGAAGAGGATGTTGGGAGCTTATGTTTAAATAGATCAAACTGCCTGATATGTCACAGGTTCAAGAAGGAGGAAGCTACGAACAGAGATGGAAGATAATGAGGGCCTTGATTAAAAAGTTTATTGTCTGGATAGATATGCACAGAGTTGTAGTAGTGCTATGAATGAAGCAGTGTAAATGCTGGGGACCCTGAATCGCAGCACACTGGGACAGCCCAGTCACTTTAAATGAGAGCAAAGAGTCAAAGATGATTCCTGTGCTCAGGGCTCTGGAGGCAAGATGAGAAGCAAGGCTGCAAGAAGTGAAATGGGCTCTAGAATTGGCCATGCTGGATTTAAATTGAAAATTGTACTTCCAAGAGACAGACAATGGTTGGGAGCAGACAGGGAGATTTTTTTCCTTCTCTTGTTGATATAAAATAGCTGAGGAAAACTGCACTGTGCCAGTGCAGAGCAGTCCCTGGTGTGCGGTGAGGGAGATGCTGAACCACAAGCCAGAGACAGCAAGGAGGTGGCAGAGGGAAGAGGGGAATGAGGACAGGTGGCAGCAAGAGAGTGTGAGCCCCAGGCAATGATGATTTTCTGTTTCTTCAGCTGTGCCTCCTACCAGACATGCATAACACCATCTAACAGAAGCATGATACAAGGGTGAAATGAAAGGGTTAAGGCTGGCTGAAATAACTAGACTGGTAGAACAACAGGTCGGTGTGCCAACAGGGTCAATTCAGCTTTTCATCCTTTGCAGGTATAGATAAACCATAGACCTGCCAAATCTAGTGTTTTTCCATGTATTTCTTGGCCCTCACTTCAGGGAATTTCAAGGAATCCACTGTTTTATTTCTTTTGCTTTCTTTTTTTTTCTTCTTTTTCTAGAGCTGGACTTAGTGTTTGGTGGAAAAGGAATTAACGTGAAATCAGCAACTGATTTCAGTGTCAAGATACGGCTCTTTCACGGAAGTGTTTCAAAGGCATCATGACTTAACTTCTGCCCTAATTTAGATTATACATAGCCAGATGCTCAAGTGTCTCTTTCTCAAGACAGAATTCTGAGCAAATATTTCTCTAACTTTCCTAATTCCCACAAGCTATTTTTTTTCCTTTACATACTTTTCAGTTGAATTCTTCCCAGAAACACTTCATGGAGTTACTCTGGACCAAAATGCTGGAGTCCCTTGGGTTTCAGAGAAAAAAAATTAAAAGAAAATGTTCCTTTAAATTTTTAACAGTTGTGCTTTGTCCTGCCTCTGGTGTCTGTGAAGCAGACCTAGAGCAGG